AAGTCTAAGGAGAACCAGGGGCTATATCTGTTCTTAGTTCTGTATTTTTTGAATGGGGCATGTTTATTTAAGATTGAGAGGAAATTACTTTTAAAGAACAACCAGGCATCCTCTACTGGCGGAATGAGATCGATATCCATCCAGGATACCTGAGCCAGGTCAATTAGGAAGGCCTGCTCGCTAAAGTGTTTTAGGGAGCGTTTGACGGTGATGAGGGGTGGTCGTTTGACCGCGGACCCATTACGGACGCAGGCAATAAGGCAGTGATCGCTGAGATCCTGGTTGAAGACAGCGGAGGTGTATTTAGAGGGTAAGTTAGTCAGGATGATATCTATGAGGGTGCCCATGTTTACGGATTTAGGGTTGTACCTGGTAGGTTCCTTGATAATTTGTGTGAGATTGAGGGCATCTAGTTTGGATTGTAGGATGGCCGGGGCGTTAAGCATATCCCAGTTTAGGTCACCAAGCAGTACAAACTCTGAGGATAGATGGTGGGCAATCAATTCACATATGGTGTCCAGGGCACAGCTGGGGGCTGAGGGGGGTCTGTAGCAAGCGTCAATAGTGAGAGACTTATTTCTGGAAAGGTGGATTTTTAGAAGTAGGAGCTCAAACTGTTTGGGCACAGACCTGGATAGTATGATAGAGCTCTGCAGGCTATCTCTACAGTATATTGCAACTCCACCCCCTTTGGCAGTTCTATCTAGACGGAAAATGTTGTAGTTGGGGATTTTTGGTGGCCTTCCTAAACCAGGATTCAGACACTGCTAGAACATCAGGGTTGGCGGAGTGTGCTAACGCAGTGAATAACTCAAACTTAGGAAGGAGGCTTCTGATGTTAACGTGCAGAAAACCAAGGCTTTTACGGTTACAGAAGTCAACAAATGATAGCTCCTGGGGAGTAGGAGTGATACTGGGGGCTGCAGGGTTAACCGCTACATCACCAGAGGAACACAGGAGGACTAGAATAAGGATATGGCTAAAGGCTTTAAGAACGGGTCTTCTAGTGCGTTGGGTACAGAGAATAAAGGGGGCAGATTTCCGGGTGTTGTAGAATAGATTCAGGGCATTATGTACAGACAAGGATATGGAAGGATATGAGTACAGTGGAGGTAAACCTAAGCGTTGGGTAACAATGAAAGAGATAGCATCACTGGAGGCACCGATTGAGCCGGTCTCGGCGTGTATGGGGGGTGGAACAAAGGAGCTATTTGAGGCAGTTTGAGAGGGACTTGGGGTTCTACAGTGAAATTGTATAATAAGAACTAACTGGAACATCAATAGGCAAGGCATATTGACATAGGAGAGAGGCATAAAGCAATCACAGGTGTTATTATAGAGAGCTAAGACAACAACTGGTAATGGTGATGAAAGTTTGGGCTGAGGCTAAACAGATAAACAGGACAGGGTACCGTGTAAAGGAACAGTCCAGCAGGCATCAGCTGTGCAGCTGACTGATCATAAGGTCCAGTGAACAGCAATATGTGAGTCCGAGAGCAGTTTGAATTGGTGCTACAGCACAGCGAGCAGGAAGCACGGCTGTTGTTTGCGTGTGCTAGCGGGCCGGGGCTAGCAGATGGATCTTCGTGGTCGTCGCAACGGGAAGCCTGTTGAAACCACAGACGATTACGTCGGCAGACCAGTCGTGATGGATCGGCAGGGCTCCGTGTCGACTCTAGGAGGTCCCGTCCGGTTGACAGCGCGGTAGATAGCCGGGAGATGTGCCTAACTCGAGGCTAGCTCAAGGCTGATTAGCCAACAACAACATCCATTTGGTTGCAGCTAGCTAGTTGCGATGATCCGGTGTTAAAGGTCCAGTGATTCAGTGATTCCGGCAGAAAATCTGGGTTGATAATGCGCTGTGCAGACAGTGCAGACTGGCCGATTGTAGTCCAGGCTAGAGCTGGCTGGTAGGTAGTACAGGCCACGGACAATGTTGAGAAACCGCTAACGGTGGCTAATAGCAAGTAGCTAGTTAGCTGGCTACTCCCGTCCGGTAGACAGAGAGGTAGATAGCCGGGATATGGGCCTGGCTCGAGGCTAGCTCAAGGTTAACTGGTGCTTGCTTCGGGGGCAGTGGTGATTAGCCTACAGCAACATCCATTCGGTTGCGGCTAGCTAGTTGCGATCCGGTGTTAAGGTCCAGTGATTCAGTTATTCCGGCAGAAAATCCGATGTTCTGGGTGAAAACCGCTAACGGTGGCTAATAGCAAGTAGCTAGTTAGCTGGCTAGCTAGTTTCAACTGGAGATTATAGATAAAGGTGTGTAAATAATAGAATCCGTTCCACATTGAGTGAGGCGGGTTGCAGAAAAGTATATTTAGTAGAAGGATGAAAAGTGTGATAGGGAAATATATACGTAAAATACAAAAAAAATACAAAAAACAGGCTATTTACATGGACACACAAAAGAGAACACGACCGCACTGCTACACCATCTTGGATCGAATCAGCAATCAGTGTGTCTTTGACCCTATAAAACGGAAGTTTGAACAGGCATCAGAGTATGTGAGCGGAGTGGAGCTGGAGCAGACCGATCCCAATTTGACTGGAGCGCGGAGCAAGATTCCCAAAGGAGATTCCCAAAGGCTGGAGCGTCAGCCTTCTCGCCTGCTCCAATTTTGCTCCAGTAGCGCTCCAAGTAGCGCTCACTTCACGAGCTCAGAGCATGCCCGGCCCAGCATGCGTTTGTATTCTACCTGTGTGCTGCTATAGCCCCTTTCTTTAGCTACTGTCATGGAGTTCGCTAAATATGTTCAAAAAAGAAACACACAGGTGCAAAATCAAGGTGACTTACAAAGATGAGGACCAAGCGCAAGAGAGGGAGTGCGGTGATGTAGTGTCCACAACTAAAGAATCATGGAATCTGAAAATACAAGTATTCTGAAGCATGATGTTGTACTTACTACGTGCACATGCTAAAATAAAGGAATGAGGTGGGTAGATAACTAAGTGTGTCATTGTAGCAAAGTATTTATAAACAAAAAATCTGATCTCTTAAACGTTTCGTTCATTTTTGTTATATTATCTATGCAATAAGCCATAATTGATTTTGGCCCAATAGGCCTGGCATATTCCCACATTCAAGAAGCTTTCCATTTTGATTGGGTTATTTTGCCTAAAAACCTTCAGGCCTAGCTATAGAAAAATAAAAATAAACAACTATGCATCTCTGCCCAGCCTGTCAAGAATGTCCAAAAGGATGTTTAGCATCCCCAGTGGCTCTGAAAGTGTGGAGAGGATATTCTCCGCTGCTGGCCTGCTCTCCAGGCACCATAGCATGAGCCTGAAGCCACAGATTTCAGGCTCATGAAATTCAAAGGCACTAATGTCATTTTTCGTTTAATTTGTATTAAGTTCTAAGTAAGTCACAGCCTATATATGCGAAATGTATAGACTATAATGATTTAATACAACAAAATGTTGTTTAAGTGCTGAGCACTTTATGTCCCTACCAGCCTATTGTGTCGCACTCACAAATGTTTCACAATGTATTTCTTTGTAGAATAGCCTTAAAATAATATAAATAATATAGCCTAAATAATTAACTTTCTTATGCTCCCTGTCTGGCTCCTGACCTATTTAGAGTGTGTATATGCTGTTTAATATGACATGTAGCCTATTTGAAATGATGTGTGCTTCTTACATTCAACTTTTCAGGTTTCTTCAAATACTGGTTTGTTTTCAATACTTAAAAACCAAACGGTATGTCCAGGCAGTCACAAAAATAGATGGGTATTTTTTAAATTGTGATTTTAATGAATGGAGCCAATTTGAAGCAGCTGGTTTTTTTTGGTGAGCGCAGAGCGGTTTTTAGCAGAGCAGTTGGAAAGAAGGTGGCTCAACTCCGCTCACATACTCTGACAGGCATGTGTGAAGACAACCTACCTGTACCACGTGTTTGGTGCCTGAATGTAGTTGTCCAAGGTAGGCCTTGATTTAACCTGCTATTTGTAATTATACTAAAATAATCATGCTCAATGTATTCCATCATGCGGACTAAGAAAACAACTAAGGTCCATGGTATGAGGAGAACCGGTTCCTTTATTGTAAGTTGGAATGTAATGTTTGTAATTTATGTTATTGATGATTGTGAACAGTGTTTCAGTGAAGTCAGCCGCTGTTCTTTTGACTTCTAGTTTTGTTAAATAGAATAAAGCACTCCCTGACGAAGGCCATGCAGCCGAAACGCGTCGGATGTTTCTATTGAACATGCCATACTAATAAAGGCATTTTAATTAATTATATGAAGAGTGCCTTGGTCCTCCTTTCTTTTTGATGACCAATTCACCCCTTTGACCAAAGAGCACCTTCTGTCTACCAACATTTACTATTGTGTACCTTAGTAGCGCTTCCCTTCCTCCTCTTTCTACTAGAATAAAGTAGTATTTAAACTTAAGAACCACTTCACAGTAGCATTTGTATAGCTTGTAGCCTCCTGTTATTTGTCATAGACCAACTTAGGCCTAGTGCATTTGAGGGTTTTGACCACTTTGTGTGATATTGAAGGTGTGACCCTTTGCATTGGACCTGTTTCGTGTGTGTGTTTCCTAAGAGATTCTGGAGAAATTACAGGATGTGGAGAAACGAGAACACATTCCATAACCTGTGTGCATGAGAGAGGCAGCTGGTTGGTTGAATGTCAGTGCGCCTCTCTGGAGCGGTGATTCAATGGACACTGTATCACATAATACGTTAAAGGCTCATTAAAATAATAAAAACAAGCACTTTATTGTGATGTACAGTGAGGGAAAAAAGTATTTGATCCCCTGCTGATTTTGTACGTTTGCCCACTGACAAAGAAATGATCCGTCTATAATTTTAATGGTAGGCTTATTTGAACAGTGAGAGACAGAATAACAACAACAAAATCCAGAAAAACACATGTCAAAAATGTTATAAATTGATTTGCATTTTAATGAGGGAAATAAGTATTTTCAAAATACAAAAAAAATAATAAATAAAGGATCACCTCCCCTGCAGGCCTGAATGAGGATGACTTTGGGTTTGTTAATCAGTGCTTTGCAGTTCTCTGTGTTCAGGTGTGTGAAGATGTTGTTGATGGGGAAGACGTCAGGTTTAGGGTCCCCTTCCTTGTAGTGGACACCAATGATGACTCCCAGAATCCTGTGAGAAATCATCACCACGAAGACGCTGTCCGACAAGAAGTGCTCCTCACGTTTAGAGAACGCTTTCACAGCCTCGTCCAACTCCTGCAAGAGCACACTGAGTCAGTCACAGAGGAGACAATGGAAACATGTTGACATTCTTCTAGAAGCAGGAGATATGTTTCCTCCCCCTGTGTACCTGTCCAGACAGGTTTTCGTGTTTCACCACATCATAACCCAGATCCCTGAGAAGCCTCTCTATGTTCTCCTCGTCCTTCTCTGCCCCTTCTCTCAGCAATGTCTTATCATCAAACTCCACTTGTTTATGGGGAAATTGGTCCCAATTTACAAGTCGTGCTAAAACCACTGTGTAATAACAGTGTAGGTACACATTGTTACAGTTATTGCAGTTTGTGAAATTACAAGTTGAAACTTTGATGGTTTGTTTACATTGTAGGACTATACTTTCATGCCTAGACGATTTTCTATTTAGTTTTTTTAAAGACTTTAAAGTAACTCAAATGACTGTGTTTCCTAAACTGTGACACTGGTAACCCCAGGGGTTCATAAGCAAGCTCATTGGTCTAATAGGAGAACTATAAACTCAGAAGCTAATTCTAAAACCGCACTCAGAAAACCGATACATGTACACTGATCTATCCTTTGACAGCCAAGTAGAGCTCGAACCTCACAACCCTTCCTCTGAAGAATGCCCTCCTTAAAGTCCCTGGTGCTGGGAATGAGGACAGAGGACACCTGGCGCTCCACCTGCTGTGATAACTGGGGTGATGATGGTGCTGCAGGGAAAATACAGCATGTTACATTTAATTTACAGTATCTGCAAAGTTTTTATTAACTCTTATCAAGTCTAGAAGATTGGGACTGTGACAGACATCACTGAATGGTGTATCAGTTTCACTCACTCATCTTGGCAGGCTGCCTGGAGGCCAGACCCAATTTGTCATAAAGTCCAGGATCTCTCCTGAACTCGGGCAATCATCTTCTCACTTGCTTTGCCCCCTTTCTTCCGCACCATATCGATGAGGCATCGTGCCTGGTCTGTCTTAGTTATGTTCTCCTCCTTCACTGAGTCTGTTTCTTCATCGTTCAGCACCCGGTCCTCCAAAAGGTCGTCCAGGAGCTGCTTGATCACTGACTTCGACACTGTCTATGAATGTCTTCCGAGCATTGGAGAGCACTTTGTCTGCTGAAAGTAAATAGGATTTAATCAGAGCTACAATTTAATCATTGTTGGAGCGATGTCTAAGTCTTATGTATCTGATTTGTAGTTGTGTTAAAAGTGTATTCTAAATTTCTATTCATCCTTTAAAGGGGCAATCTGCAGCTCGAACAATAACAAAGCGACACCCCACCACTGATTTGGTAAACAGCTGAGGGATGGGGCTGGAGAAATATAACCACTCTCAAACTCATGGACAGAGCTATGGATGCAAAGATTGACCATCCATGGTATCAAAATTATAGTTTTAATCATGTTTTGAGGCTATACAGTGTTTGTTTACATTTGCATTGTTTACAAACAAATGAATAAACCAAGCTTATATTTTGATTGGTGCGACAGTTGAACTAAGCTCATGAGTCATCTTTAAGTTTTATTCTTCAAGAATCAATGGGTGTATCATTAATTTAAAAGACTAAAAATGTATGTAGCAACTGCAGATTGCCCTTTAAATGATGCAAGATGCCATGATACAGTTTTTAAATAATATTTTGGTTCACGGTTTACATGGCGTGTTCACACAAACACACAAACTGATAAAGACACAGACAGACACACATAGCCCAAAAGGACACCGACGGCTAAAATACACACGCACACACACACACACACATTATTTTCAAACTAACTGCTCCAGATAGAAGAAAAACGGAGGATCGACCGTGCGTCGTGCGTGCACCAGTCTTAAGTTTGAGGGCTATAGGGAAAGTGTAAGTATGCATGCTGTCGAAGTGCAAAAAAATAGCCCAAAATTATAACTAAAACATTGCAATATTATTCATATTTATATTTGTCAGAGTAGTAAAAAGAAATACCATGTTTGTTTCGACTTTTTTTTTGTACCTAAGCAAAACGTTTGTACATATAAATTGTAATTTACCCGCCATTGGTTAGTTGAAGGGGATGAAGCTATTCTCTTATTTCTGCCAGCTATTTCACATACGATAAAGATATGCCTAGGCGTCTTCTTGATGATACTCGATCACTACGAGTTGTCTACCAAATACGTTTCGACCTAGGCTACTGTACTTCTACACAAGTCATAAAATGTCTTAGCAACTTCCCATATATTTTATACAGTTACCTGATTGGCTGGTTTGGTGCATAGATTTACATAACAGGTTTGTTTGAATGTGATATGCATTGAAAAATATGCTGTATTTTTCTGATTCACAAGAAATACAATTAGGAAAATTATATTTGTACTTACAATGTACATAGCTAACTTATAACTGTCACATCACATATTGAATGGGCTTTCATTTACATTTCATTCACTTGTAAACATGTGTCCTGTCTGTGTAAACGGAAATTATACATTGCAGCTAGTTAACTGCATAACTACGGAGAGACAAGGGGAGCTGCTCTCCCTACCTTCAAACTATGCTCAAACGGTAAACACTAAATGGGACAACCTACCCGTTAATTCTGCCACTCTGGTTTCTTGGCCCACCCACCCCTAACGTCAGGACCAATGACCAGTGGCGACCTGTCATTCAGGGCAGGTGCTCATTGGCCTTCGGATCAGATCACCGACCATTTCGGATCACACCGTACCTTCTCCGCTATGCATTCCGGTTTCCGAGCTGGTCATGGGTGCACCTCAGCCACGCTCAAGGTCCTAAACGATATTATAACCACGATCGATAATAGACAGTACTGTGCAGCCGTCTTCATCGACCTGGCCAAGGCTTTCGACTCTGTCAACCACCGCATTCTTATTGGCAGACTAAATTGCCTTGGTTTCTCAAATGACTGCCTCGCCTGGCTCACCAACTACTTCTCAGATAGAGTTCAATGTGTCAAATCGGAGGGCCTGTTGTCTGGACCTATGGCAGTGCCACAGGGTTCAATTCTTGGGCCGACTCTTTTCTCTGTGTATATCAATGATGTCGCTCTTGCTGCTGGTGATTCTCAGATCCACCTCTACGCAGACGACACCATTTTGTATACATCTGGCCCTTCATTGGACACTGTGTTAACATACCTCCAAACGAGCTTCAATGCCATACAACACTCCTTCCGTAGCCTCCAACTGCTCTTAAACACAAGTAAAATTAAATGCATGCTCTTCAATCGAACGCTGCTGGCACCCGCCCACCCGACTAGAATCACTACTCTCGACGGGTCTGACCTAGAGTATGTGGACAACTACAAATACCTAGGTGTCTGGTTAGACTGTAAACTCTCCTTCCAGACTCACATTAAGCATCTCCAATCCAAAGTTAAATCCAGAATCGGCTTCCTATTTCGCAACAAAGCCTCCTTCACTCATGCTGCCAAACATGCCCTCGTAAAACTGACTATCCTACCAATCCTTGACTTCGGCGATGTCATTTACAAAATAGCCTCCAACACTCTACTCAGCAAATTGGATGTAGTCTATCACAGTGCCATCTGTTTTGTCACCAAAGCCCCATATACTACCCACCACTGTAACCTGTACGCTCTTGTTGGCTGGTCCTCACTACATATTCGTCGCCAAACCCACTGGCTTCTTATCTTAGCTCATTGGTCACCATAGCAACACCCACCCGTAGTATGCACTCCAGCAGGTATATCTCACTGGTCATCCCCAAAGCCAACACCTTTGGCCGCCATTCCTTCCAGTTCTCTGCTGCCAATGACTGGAACGAACTGCAAAAATCTCTGAAGCTGGAGACTCTTATCTCCCTCACTAACTTTAAGCATCAGTTGTCAGAGCACCTTACCGATCACTGCACCTGTACACAGCCCATTTGAAATTAGCCCACCCAACTACCTCATCCCCATATTGTTATTTATTTTGCTCATTTGCACCCCAGTATCTCTATTTGCACATCATCTCTTGCACATCTATCATTCCAGTGTTAATACTAATTGTAATTATTTTGCACTATGGCCTATGTATTGCCTTACCTCCATAACTTGCTACATTTGCACACACTGTATATATATTTTCTATTTTCTGTTGTATTTTTGACTTTGTTTTGTTTTACCCCATATGTAACTCTGTGTTGTTGTTTTTATCGCACTGCTTTGCTTTATCTTGGCCAGGTCGCAGCTGTAAATGAGAACTTGTTCTCAACTGGCTTACCTGGTTAAATAAAGGTTAAATAAAAAAGAAATAAAAAAATAGACATAAACATTACACAACAAGTCGGAAATCGCAAATTCAACAATGAGTGTTTTGGAAGGAATCGGTGACAGTGGCTATCTGCAAGCATTGCAACTGGGAAGTTGGGAATAAACGAGCTCCGACTGGGAAAACACGTTTTGAACAGTCATCCAACTCGGAATTGTAAATCCAACCTCTTTCTTTGATGACAAAATGTGCACACTAAGGACCGCCGCGCCACCTTCCAGTTCAAGTGAGCACAGCAAAACAAAAATGTATTGTATGCTGCTGCATAAATGATGTAATATGCCAGGGAGATATGTAGACTGTAGCTAAGAAAGTAATACTAAGTGTATGTGGTGTAGTAAGATGTTAGTAGCGCATGTGCCTCGCCCTAATAATTTGGTCTATTCACCTCTCTTAATTTCGCCTACTGTTCTGAATTGGTGGTGTACATGTAGCCTATAACTTGTTTTAGAGAAATGTAATCATCGAATATTGTAAGAGCTTTCATTGGCTGCTTTTATGCCCCCTTTATTTATCCTACGGTTCTGACTTGGTGTACAGGGAGAACACTGTAAGAACGGCCCATGTTCTGAATTCTGTCGCTGTACATTTCAAAAGTGCTGAACAAATAGTTATATTGACTTCGTCCGTCCTAGCTCGCTCATTAATGTCTTATTCGAAATGACGGATTGCCTCTTATCCGCTTCTCGTCCCCTTATGCCATAGTTTGTACATCTCAATTGTCATTAGAAACCACATTTGTTTAAGCAAGTCAGCCATATCAGCTATGTTTTTTTCAAGGCAGTAAATGAGGCTGAATGAACTGTTTCGCTGCCAGACAAGGCTCCGCTGATAGCCAGGTGTAGCAGTGGTAAGATGTTGGGACAGCTTTATGTAGGCCCTAACAGTTTGTGGGCACCGTTTGTCACCGTTATTGTGTAATTAATGTATTGATTTGTGTTGTGTAGTGGCTTTGCTGGCATGCATCCCAATTAGTGTTTTTTTTTTTGCCCCACCAAGATTGACATGCTAAAATCGCCACTGCCAATGACGTATATAAACCTTGGAATGTTGATGCTATGTATTGGCCATTGAGAGGCTTTGAAGCCACTGGTCAGCCATAATAGAATTCCATAATAGGTTTAATATTATTGGCACTCCCAAGTAGGAGCAGTCGTCCATAGGAATTAATGGAATTCTACAATATTTTAATTAAATGTTTCAAGGACAAAATTACATGTATTTAAGTATTTTTGTTGTTATAGTGGGGACAGTAACATTAGTTCACTCCAAAAAAATATATATACTTTAAGGAAAATGTTTTATATATTTTTTAAATGTTTATGTTTATGTTTAGCTCACAAAATATAATTTAAAAGTATGCATTAATGTGTCAATAGAATACACGTGTCAAAAACGAATGTAGACATTAATACATGCATTTCTATAGCTTCCAAAATATGTTTTACACTTGAGAAGGACTGCCAAGATGGCTGCGCGGTGGCTTCAATACAGCGCCCCCCTGTTAGTCATCCAGGTTTTATACACATCATTGGTCAGGACCCAGTGGTCAGGACAGCTGAGTCCCTGCCCATCTTCCGAAAACGTCTGACATCAATAGCTACTTGAGTCAAGAGCGCGCTCTTGGATAATGAGGAAGAAGGGTGACGCTACGTAAACAAACTGGTCTGTCAGAGGGGTAGGTAGCAGATATTGCCGATGGCTGCATAAAAAAACGAAATATCCACACTCAATAATCTTTCTTAAAAGCTAAGGAGTCGCAGAATGCCGTTAGCCAGCTAACGATATTGTTGAATTGCTTGTCAATTTTGTTGGGTCCGGGCGGAATTACTGTCACGCTAGCTAGCTAATAACGCTTCAACTGCAAGTGCAAACTAGCTAGCTAATGTTAACTTCTAGTGTGAGCCAAACCCTACTAGTTCAACTTACCTCTGGTCAGTACCCAGTGGTCAGGTGGGTACGTTATAGAATACTAAATGATGGTATTTTTGTAGCTAAGTTTAAAGGTTTACTGTTAATATTTAGCTACCAGAATAAGCCTAACGTTAGCTAGCTAATATCATGTGATACATTGCGTCGCGTTCGTGAAGTTAGAGCTAGCTAGCTAGCTAGCTAGCTAGTTAAAGCTGAACTAAGCCCATTGCATTGCTTGCAGCTATACAGTACACAGTAATAGGTTAGTTAATTGGTAGTAGCTAGCTAGCTAGCTAGCGTGTTAATAAATAAGGATGGCTAGCTAGCTAACATTGTAATGTGGCTTCAAACAAAGTCAAGTGTAGGTACACTATTGGAACTTGACACAGCTTGAAGGCCATGAACATTTTTACCATTGTTTGTGGTCAGCCATTAAATTCCTCCTGTGTTGTTTTTCTTATCATGCATTATCAATATGAGTAAGTAGTCATAATCATCAGAAATGGGCAGATGGGCAGATTCTGAGGGGTTCAAACTCTCTTGTGTCAGATTTCCACTTTGGGTAACTTAACATTAGGGTGGTAAAGTTGTAAACACTGCCGCTGAATGAAATCATATTTTGATACACACTGGAATTCACTAAGATCTTCTTCAGTGTGTGGATTGAAATGTTTCATTATGCTAGCTACCTCTATCAAACATAATTTTTAATGAAATACCTCAACCTGAATGTGGACCATAGTTTTATAGGCATTCAACCTTGTCAAAGTCCTGATAAATCAATAATAGCCATCAAGTTCGGTTTTAGGCTTCTTCTGACTGCGGATCTTTCTACCATGCCATCATTCACAGTCTTGTCTTTTTCCTGTAATTCCCAGCAGTATCCTCGCTAGCCGTGAGGGATGAGCCACCGGCCGGAACGTCGTGGGATCCATGTGGACCAGTCAGAGCTGCTGTGTACGAAGGGATGTGGTTTCTATGGCAACACGGCCTGGCAGGGCCTCTGCTCCAAGTGCTGGCGGGAGGAGTACCAACAAACTAGACACAAACAGATCCAGGACGACCATGCACTGGCAGAGAGGTGTGTGTGGTTGTCTGTTTGAGCAAGCTTGTTTTGCATCATCCCCCAGCTGCTGACCGGGTGGGTGGAGTTAGCACTTGATTTGAAATCTAGGAGCCCGGAGGCGAAAACTGAATGCCCCGCTCAAAATTGAGGGGTGGAATCGAAAACAAAACAATAGCAAAACTCACTTGTAACTTTTGATAATTGATTAACAAATATTTCAACAGCCATTTTCACAGAGGCAAATGGGACAGTGTCATGTTGCTGTCTGTCATTAGTTTAAATGATTCTTGCCTTTTTGATCTCTGACATTCTTTCCTTATCTGTCATGTTTTAGTTAGGGACCACTGTCTGTCTTCAGTATAGATCATGTGGTAGTAACAACAATGTCTGTTCTGTGTCCCAGGTTACAGATGGAGGAGGAGGCAGCATACGCTAACAACCACCAGGGGGCAGCCCAGCCCCAGCCTGCCGTCGCACCCTTCAGCAAGTTTGAAGAGAGGAAAACCAAGGAGAAGTCACGGAAAGTCAACACAGTGACTAAGTTTTTCACTCCCTCAGCAAAGACACCACCCAAGAAAGGTAGGGTCCATGTCTATGAGATAGGGTTTACACAGTTTATAGTGTTTTCTCTACCATTACTTGAGGGATGAGCAGATCCAAACCACCACTGCCTCCCCTCTCTGCATAATGTTGGAGCACAGTTCCTCTTTCCCCCCTCTTTCAGACTCTGCTCCACTACCACTCTCTCCCCCCAGTCACTGTGAAGGAGGTCACATGGGGTATCCAGCTAGAGTTCCCTAGATGTTCAACCTCTCCCTGACCCAGTCTGTAATACCTTCATATTTCAAGCAGACCACCATAGTCCCAGTGCCCAAGAACGCCAAGGTAACCTGTCTAAATGACTATCGCCCCGTAGCACTCGCATCTGTAGCCATGAAATGCTTTGAAAGACTGGTTATGGCTCACATCAACACCATCATCCCAGACACCCTGGACACACTCCAATTTGCATACCGCCCCAACAGATTCACAATGACGCAATCTCTATTGCACTCCACACTGCCCTTTCTCACTTGGACAAAAGCAACACTTACGTGAGAATGCTGTTCATTGACTACAGCTCAGCATTCAACACCATAGTGCACTTCAAGCTCATTACTAAGCTAAGGTTTTGCTTGGCGTTCAGGCCAAAGAGTTCAATCTTGATTTCATCATTATCTGAGAGTCTTTAGGTGCCTTTTAGCAAACTCCAAACGGGCTGTCATGTGCCTTTTACTGAGGAGTGGCTTCCAGACGGCCACTCTACCATAAAGGCCTGATTGGTGGAGTGCTGCAGAGATGGTTGTCCTTCTGGAAGGTTCTCCCATCTCTACAGAGGAACTCTGGAGCTCTGTCAGAGTGACCATTGGGTTCTTGGTCACCTCCCTGACCAAGGCCCTTCTCCCCCAATTGCTCCGTTTGGCCGGGTGGCCAGCTCTAGGAAGAGTCTTGGTGGTTCCAAACTTCTTCCATTTAAGAAAGATGGAGGCCACTGTGTTCTTGGGGACCTTCAATGCTGCAGACATTTTTGGTACCCTTCCCCAGATCTGTGCCTTGACACAATCCTGTCTCGGAGCTCTATGGACAATTCCTTTGACCTCATGACTTGGTTTTTGCTCTGACATGCACTGTCAACTGTGGGACCTTATATAGACAGGTGTGTGCCTTTCCAAATCATGTCCAATCAATTGAATTTACCACAGGTGGATTCCAATCAAGTTGTAGAAACATCTCAAGGATGATCAATGGAAACAGGATGCACCTGAGCTCAATTTCGAGTCTCATAGCAAAGGGTCTGAATATGTACGTAAATAAGGTATTTCTGTTTTTAGCACAAAATGTATAAAAACCTGTTTTCGCTTTGTCATTATGGGGTATTGTGTGTGAATTGATGGGGAAAATGTGTTATTTAATCAATTTTAGAATAAGGCTATAACGTAACAAAATGTGGAGAAGGGGTCTGAATACTTTCAGAATGCACTGTGTACAGTACATAGCTACCTCAATTACCTCGTACACCTTCACATCGATACTGGTACTCCCTGTATATAACCATGTTATTTTCTACTCCCTATATATAGCCATGTTATTTCTACTATTTATTTGTAGTTGTTATTCACTGTGTATTTATTCCTCGTGTCACTATTTATATTGTATTTTCTATCTTTAACTCTCTACAATGCTGGAAAAGGACCCATGTGACAAACAAAAAGTATTTTAAGACCGTATCCCAAGGCAAACCTAATCCCATTCTTTCCTTTGTGAGGCAAATAGAGGAGAGGAGATAAAATGACCACCCCTTTAAGACAAAACTGTTCAGAAAATAAAGGACAAGCCATGGTTGATGTATTTCATGGGGAACTGTGTAGCAAGAAGTGACTAGCTAAGCAGATTGCAGAAGGATGTTGTGTGAAATCACAACTCCGCAAGCTGTGCTGGTAATAGATGAATAAAGGCCCACCCTTATTTTCTCTGCTTCCCATGGAACGGCTGGCTAAAAGCCTGTATTTTAGATCCACCACCTAAGGAATATTGTACATACACACAGGTATATGATTCCTCCATTATCTGTATCCTCCACCCTCCCAGACTCTGTCCCTGGCGAGGCCCAGTCGACCCCCAGCCCCTCAGTAAGCCGCAAGCCCTTAGAGACGGACTGCACCACACAAGAGTTCATCGACTTCCTCAAGACCCTGAAACCTGGTAGGGAGATCTTCAAACAGTGCCGGGCCTTCACAGAGAGCATGGCCTACAAGAGGGTGAGTACTACACTACAATACCACCAGGGGCTTCTGAATGTGGAGAGCCTGATGATTCCCATGGGGGTTACCTCTATTCATTCACCCCTCCTGCTTTTGTTTGGACCATTTCACTTCCTCATCGTAGAACAGAAGGATGACAAAAACAAACGCTGAGGTTACTCCAGAGCATTGAGTGAATAACCAAATGTGAACTCGCCCTTGAACTTGAAATTAATAAAAATATACGACAATCCCTTCAAGCTAATAGTGAGCTTGTTCCCCAGGACCTGGGTGCTGATGAGCTGTCTGAGTGTGTTCAGGACTTCTACCAGAACCTGTCAGACCGCCTGCACACACACTTCAAAGGTACACCTCTCCTTTCCTCACCTCTACTACTCTAATACTGGATCATTAAGGATATCTTGAAACAGGGGCTTGATGATAAAGTTGATGGTGACAAGGAACACACTCTGATCCTTTCAGAGAGCTATCTATAGGTAGGCCTTGAATGACTCACATTTGCTGTTTTCCCCGTATGTGTCCGTGTTGACCCCAGGGTCGTCGGAGCGCGTAGAGAGTGTGATGGACGAGGTGGAGAGGTACATGATGACACGTCTCTATGAGGAGGTCTTCTGTCCTGAGACCACAGACGATGAGAAGAAAGACTTGGCCGTTCAGAAGAGAATCAGGTAAAGACATTGAAACTGATATGATACTGAGTTTGAGCGTTGAAGCTGCTGTATGCCTCCTTGTACATCTGTTCACTAAAGTGTGTGTGTGTGTGGGTTGCAGGGCCTTGCATTGGGTCACCATTGAGATGCTGTGTGTCCCTGTGGATGAGGAGATTCCTGAGGTGTCTGATAATGTGGTCAAAGCCATCACAGGTCAGACTTACCCTGTATTAATTTGTTGTTTTTAGTTTTTTACAAAGAGACACAAACATTGACTGAACATGCATGTGATGTATAATGTCATCATAGCACATTAACTACCACTCTGTTCCACCCTGACCTCCTGTAGATGTGATAGAGATGGACTCGAAGCGTGTGCCCAGGGACAAGCTGACCTGCATCACGCGCTGCAGTAAGCACATCTTCAATGCCATCAAGACCACCAAGAAGGAGGCGGCATCTGCTGATGACTTCCTGCCCACCCTCATCTACATCGTCCTGAAGGCCAACCCTCCGCGACTGCAGTCCAACATCCAGTACATCACCCGCTTCTGTAACCCTAGCCGCCTCATGAGCGGAGAGGACGGATACTACTTTACCAACCTGGTGAGAGGGCTGTGTACGCAAAGCAAACAGACAAGCTGTACCAAACAAACTCAAATACACATACACTGTACACATATTAAGAATATCATTTCTGATTCCCCTAACCCCCCTCTCTCTCCTCTCGCTCTGTCCCTCTGCAGTGCTGTGCGGTGGCCTTCATAGAGAAGCTGGATGGCCAGTCTCTGAACCTGAGCGCTGAGGAGTTTGAGATCTACATGTCAGGCCAGGCGTCCCCCCAGCGGCCCCAGGCTGCCCCCTCCCCCCCAGGCAGTGCTGCTTTCAGCCAGATGAACGAGCGTCTGGACCTGCTGACGGGGCTGGGCGTGAGGCAGGAACGCGTCATGGAGGGAGCTCGCCGCCTGGAGAGTGACCTCATCGACTGGAGGGATGGGGTGGAGCACAAAGTGCAGGATGTGTTGGAGAGGTTCCCCCTGGAAATGCACCCCCCCGCCTCCCCCACTGCCTCTTCTGCCATAGATGCTGACAATGTGGAGAATGACCTCCTGCCTCCTCCTCTCCAGCCCCAGTTGTTCGCCGGCTGACCCCCAGCACCCCACCCCCCTACCCTGACCCTTTCGACTTGTTACTCTCTCTCTCCACCCTGGAAAGTGGCTCCTGTCCTTATGCACATATAGGTTCCCTGTAATGGATCCAAGAAGTGTAACTCCAACCCTCCCCATTGTATGCACACTTAAAATAGATGCTTGCAGTCGCCTGTACCCCAGTACTCTTAAATAGCCAACTTTCTTGGTCTGTCTTCACCACTGATTGGTAAGAGGACCAGATAGGTTGCAGGCATATTGCCTTCATTGATGGTCATGAAGGAAAGGAGATAAGGAAAGGAAGCTTTTTAAGACTGTTGGGACATAGACCATTAATCTTGTCCCCTGTATTAGTCCTGACTGCATCCAAGTCTGAGTACAGAAGCCCTGGTGAGAGGCATCTGTTGGGATCACGTGTGTGAGTGTATGTAACCACAACCAAATTTCCCCTGAAGGTGTGTGTGTGTGTGTGTGTGTGTGTGTGTGTGTGTATATATATATATATATATATATATATATATATATTACATTTACATTTTAGTCATTTAGCAGACGCTCTTATCCAGAGCGACTTACAGTTAGTGAGTGCATACATTACACACACACACACAGTACCAGTCAAAAGTTTGGACACACCTACTCATTCAAGGGTTTTTCTTTATTTTTACTATTTTCTACATTGTAGAATAATTGTGAATACATCAAAACTATGAAATATCACATGGAATCATGTAGTAACCAAAAAGGTGTTAAACAAATCAAAATATATTTGAGATTTTTCAAATAGCCACCTTTTGCCTTGATGACAGCTTTGCACACTCTTGGCATTCTCTCAACCAGCTTCACCTGGAATGCTTTTCCAACAGTCTTGAAGGAGTTCCCACATATGCTTAGTACTTGGCTGCTTTTCCATCACTCTGCCGTCCAACTCATCACAAACCATCTCAATTGGGTTGAGGTCGGGGGATTGTGGAGGCCAGGTCATCTGATGCAGCACTTCATCACTCTCCTTCTTGGTAAAATAGCCCTTACACAGCCTGGAGGTGTGTTGGGTCATTGTCCTGTTGAAAAACAAATGATAGTCCCTCTAAGCCCCCCAAAAAAGAGTGCCAAGAGTGTGCAAAGCTGTCATCAAGGCAAAGGGTGGCTATTTGAAGAATCTCAAATATTAAATATATTTTGATTTGTTTAACTTTTTTGGTTACTACATGATTCCATATGTGTTATTATTCTACAATGTAAAAATTTTTACAAATAAAGAAAAACCATTGAATGAGTAGGTGTGTCCAAACTTTTGACTGATATATATATATATATATATGTGTGTGTAATGCCAAACCTGTTCAATCATGCACTCAGTTTATTGTGTGGATATTAGTTTAGTTATTGGATGCAATAAAGACACAATTCTTGTAATGTTTACATTAGTGGTCATTCTAAATCCTATACAATAGTCTTGCATAGAGAACAGTTACATGAGTAATTGTATTATTTGTTTCAACATTTTAAAGGTTTGTTTGAGGCATTCAGGCTAGAGTCTTCTGAGAGGGGATAATGATGGCCTATTTAAAGGGCAAGATTGATACTATAGCTCAAAGTTTACATTTTTTTCCTATAAGGAAATAAATGATTTGCAGTTCAGAGTATAGGAGATACTAATATAGTGCCTTGCAAAAGTATTCATCCCCCTTGGCGTTTTTCCTATTTTGTTGAATTACAACCTGTGATTTAAATTGATTTTTATTAGGATTTCATGTAATGGACATACACAAAATAGTCCAAATTGATGAAGTGGAATTAAAAAAATAACCAGTTTCAAAAAATTCTAAAAAATAAATAATGGAAAAGTGGTGCGTGCATATGTATTCACCCCTTTGCTATGAAGCCCCTAAATAAGATCTGGTGCAACCAATTACCTTCAGAAGTCACATAATTAGTTAAATAAAGTCCACCTGTGTGCAATCTAAGTGTCACATGATCTGTCACATGATCTCAGTATATATACACCTGTTCTGAAAGGCCCCAGAGTCTGCAACACCACTAAGCAAGGGGCACCATGAAGACCAAGGAGCTCTCCAAACAGGTCATGGACAAAGTTGTGGAGAAGTACAGATCAGGGTTGGGTTATAAAAAAATATCAGAAAGTTTGAACATCCCACGGAGCACCATTAAATGTATTATTAAAAAATTGAAAGAATATGGCACCACAACAAACTTGCCATGAGAGGGCGGCTCACCAAAACTCACGGACCAGGCAAGGAGGGCATTAATCATTAACCAAAGATAACCCTGAAGGAGCTGCAAAGCTCCACAGCAGAGATTGGAGTATCTGTCCATAGGACCACTTTAAGCCGTACACTCCACAGAGCTGGGCTATACGGAAGAGTGGCCAGAAAAAAGCCATTGCTTAAAGAAAAAAATAAGCAAACACGTTTGGTGTTCGCCAAAAGCCATGTGGGAGACTCCCCAAACATATGGAAGAAGGTACTCTGGTCAGATGAGACTAAAATTGAGCTTTTTGGCCATCAAGGAAAACGATATGTCTGGTGCAAACCCAACACCTCTCATCACCCAGAGAACACCATCCACAGTGAAGCATGGTGGTGGCAGCATCATGCTGTGGGGATGTTTTTCATCGGCAGGGACTGCGAAACTGGTCAGAATTGAAGGAATGATGGATGGCGCTAAATACAGGGACATTTTTGAGGGAAACCTGTTTCAGTCTTCCAGAGATTTGAGACTGGGACGGAGGTTCACCTTCCAACAGGACAACGACCCTAAGCATACTGCTAAAGCAACACTCGAGTGGTTTAAAGGGAAACATTTAAATGTCTTGGAATGGCCTAGTCAAAGCCCAGACCTCAATCCAATTTAGAATCTGTGGTATGACTTAAAGATTGCTGTACACCAGCGGAACCCATCCATCTTGAAGGAGCTGGAGCAGTTTTGCCTTGAAGAATGGGCAAAAATCCCAGTGGCTAGATGTGCCAAGCTTATAGAGACATACCCCAAGAGACTTGCAGCTGTAATTGCTGCAAAAGGTGGCTCTACAAAATATTGACTTGGGGGGGTGAATAGTTATGCACGCTCAATATTTCTGTTTTTTTGTCTTATTTCTTGTTTGTTTCACCCCAAAAAATATTTTGCATCTTCAAAGTGGTAGGCATGTTGTGTAAATCAAATGATACAAACCCCCCCAAAAATCCATTTTAATTCAAGGTTGTAAGGCAACAAAATAGGAAAAATACTTTCGCAAGCCACTGTAGTCCCTTCTCTCTTGTTTGGCCTTCTTTGACTGCTGAACTGCTGCTTCGTCAGAAGAGAGAAAGGCTGCAGTTTCTCAGTTGCCATATTTAGTACGGTTGTATCTAAGATGAGTACTTTTAGTAAGTTCTTTATTATTTTACAGTGAGGTATTTTATTTGTACAAATGTTTTGGGGGTAAATGTTGCCAAACAGAATAGCCATAACAATGTTGATCTCAGCTCCATGTAGTAACCATTAATTCAGGATTAGATGGATATACTGTATGAAGGAATAGTAGACATTGTGTTGGATGAGTATTATCTTTGATGTAACAGAAAGATCAATTGACATACTACCTATATATTTTATCTTTTTGTAATCATGTTTAATTAATCACATTTGTAACTATCAAATCAGTGTACAAATACTACCAAACCCTGGTTGCTTAAATTAATTCAATCCAATTTAAACACTAACTGAAATAACTAGGCATTGGATTGCACACAATCAATGATCAGGTATTTTTGAAAAAGCAATGTAAAAAAATAAAAGTATATACATCTGTACAACCTTATAGTTTTGTTTTTGTATGTTAAAGGAGTAACTCAACATTGTCTTGTATTTAAATGTAACTTATTGAGACAGTGTTGTTTTATAGTGTCCATGGGTTTGTTGTGTTGATGAATAAAATAACTCAAAAGCCGTTGTGTCTAGAGGGTTTTGTCACCACTGTCGTACTGTAACATGACTATCTAGGGTAAGTAGAAAAAAAGTAGAGCAAGCAAAGATGTGTTTGCAATGTACACTGAGTGTACAAAACATTAAGAACACCTGCTCTTTCCATGACAGAATGACCAGGTCAAAGCTATGATCCCTTATTGATGTTAAATACACTTCAATCAGTGTAGATGAAGGGGAGGAGACAGGGTAAAGAAGGATTTTTATGGCTTGAGACATGGATTGTGTATGTGTGCCATGAATGGGCAAAACAAAAGATACAACTGTGGGAAGCATTGGAATCAACATGGGCCAGAATCCCTGTGGAACACTTTCAACACCTTGTAGAGTCCATGCCCTGACGAATTTAGGCTGTTCTGAGGGCAAAAGTGGGTGCAACTCAATATTAGGAAGGTATTCCTAATGTTTTGTACACAGTGTATACTGTATATTGATGTAAGTACTGTGACACAGCTACAAAATGATATACTTGCTGGGCTGGCAAACGTATTGATCATGCATTATGCAATCAAACTTGTTTTGGTGCAAAGGTCACTTTATGCCAGAGCCCTTGTATCTTTGTTATCTTGTATTTTGAAGTTCTAGCAATATTTTAACATTTCACAAGTGCTTACTGTAACTAGATGTAAAAAAAAAAAAAAAAAAAGACAGCACACATGAGGTTGCCTCCCAGGGCTTTGGTAATTCCCTCATTCCTAAAAAGGAACTTCCCCAAAGTTATTGAAGATGCCAGGAAGAGCATTATGTAATGAGGGGAAGAAAATGTTTCTTTCACGTAAATGGTATTTTTTGCAATCGAAACGGAGAAAACGAGTCTAATTTCCCTTGACAATATATAAAGATTGTACTGTGGTTATCCCCAACCGAAGCACAAACAGAACCCTCAACATGAAGCTGTTACTGAGCTTCCTTGGTGAGTTCCTTTCAGTTCACTTAAAGAGATTACAGACCATTATTTATGTGTATAGATGATCATTGATTGATTGACAGAATGATCACTGGTTTATTTTTGGTTATTTTAATGATTAATGGTTATTTATTGTTTCAGTTGTTTCAACACTACCTCAATGGGCTGTGCCACAAGGTATGTAGTAAATACAGTTCTCTCTGGCTGCGTTTACACAGGCAGCCCAATTCTGATCTTTTGACCAATAATTGGTAAATACCAATTTGTGGCAAAATATCAGAATTAGGCTGTCTGTGTAAAAGCAGCCTCTGAGATTCAAATCCTTCTCTTCAAACCAGTGTTCAAATCAAATTGTATTGGTCACATACACGTGTTTAGCAGATGTTATTGTGGGTGTAGCGAAATGCTTGTGCTTCTAGCGCCGACAGTGCATTAATATCTAACAATTTCACAACATATACCCAATACACACAAATTTAAGTAAGGAATGAATTAAGAATATATACATATATGGACAAGCGATGTTAGAGTGGCATGGACTGAAATACAGTAGAATACTGTATAGAATACAGTATATACATATGAGATGAGTAATGCAGATATGTAAACATTATTAAAGTGACGAAGATACCGTAGAATAGTATAGAATACAGTATATACATATGAGATGAGTAATGCAAGATATGTAAACATTATTAAAGTGGCTAGTGTTCCATTTCTTTAAAGTGGCCAGTGATTTCTAGTCTATGTCTATAGGCAGCAGCCTCTAATGTGCTAGTGATGGCTGTTTAACAGTCTGATGGCCTTGAGATAGAAGCTGTTTTTCAGTCTCTCGGTCCCAGCTTTGATGCACCTGTACTGACCTCACCTTTGGGATGATAGCAGGGTGAACAGTCAGTGGCTCGGGTGGTTGATGTCCTTGATGATCTTTTTGGCCTTCCTGTGACATCGGGTGCTGTAGGTGTCTTGGAGGGCGGGTAGTTTGCCCCCGGTAATGCTTTCGGCAGGCTGCACCACCGTCTGGAGAGCCTTGGGGTTGCGGGCGGTGCAGTTGCCGTACCAGGCGGTGATACAGCCCGACAGGATGCTCTCAATTGTGCATCTGTAAAAGTTTTGAGGGTATTAGGTGCCAAGACAAATTTCTTTAGCCTCCTGAGGTTGAAGAGGCTATGTTGTGCCTTCTTCACCACACTGTCTGTGTGGGTAGTCCATTTCAGTTTGTCAATGATGTGTACGCCAAGGAACTTGAAGCTTTCCACCTTCTCCACTGCAGTCCTGTCGATGTGGATAAGGGGGTGCACCCTCTGCTGTTTCCTGAAGTCCACGATCATCGCCTTTGTTTTGATGACGTTGAGTGAGAGGTTATTTACCTGGCACCACACTCCCAAAGCCCTCACCTCCTCCCTGTAGGCTGTCTCGTCATTGTTGGTAATCAAGCCTACTACTGTTGTGTCGTCTGCAAACTTGATGATTGAGTTGGAGGCGTGCGTGGCCACACAGTCATGGGTGAACAGGGAGTACAGGAGTGTGCTGAGCATGCACCCTTGTGGGGCCCCTGTGTTGAGGATCAGCGAAGTGGAGGTGTTGTTTCCTACCTTCACCACCTGGGGGCGGCCTGTCAGGAAGTCCAGGACCCAGTTGCACAGTGCGGGGTTCAGACCCAGGGCCTCAAGCTTAATGATGAGCTTGGAGGGTACTATGGTGTTGAATGCTGAGCTATAGTCAATGAACAGCATTGTAGGTATTCTTCTTGTCCAGATGGGATAGGGCAGTGTGCAGAGTGATGGCGATTGCATCGTCTGTGGATCTATTGGGGCGGGAAGCAAATTGAAGTGGGTCTAGGGTGGCAGGTAAGGTAGAGAAGGTGTTGTCTTGTGTGATGTCAACATATGAAATACAGTATGTAAATTGTCTATTTTCATTAGTTACGTAATAGTTATACACTGCTGAACATTAGTTGCCTTTTGTAATGTTAGGTGATCATGTAAATAAGACTAAGAAATATAATGGCGCCGGAGGAGATGGCTGCCGTTTTACGGGCTCCTAACCAATTTTGCTTACTCCCTGTTCACCCATGACTGCATGGCAGGAACAACTCCCAACACCATCATTAAGTTTGCCGTCGACACAACAGTGGTAGGCCTGATCACCGACAACGATGAGACAGCCTATAGGGAGGAGGTCAGATTTGGCATGTGTCCTCAGATCCTCAAAAAGTTATACAGCTGCACCATCGAGAGCATTCTGACTGGTTGCATCACTGCCTGGTATGGCAACTGCTCGGCCTCCGACCGCAAGGCACTACAGAGGGTAGTGCGTACGTCCCAGTACATCACTGGGGCCAAGCTTCTTGCCATCCAGGACCTCTATACCAGGCGGTGTCAGAGGAAGGCCCAAAAAATGGTCAAAGACTCCAGTCACCCTAGGCATAGACTGTTCTCTCTGCTACCGCACGGCAAGCGGTACCGGAGCGCCAAGTCTAGGTCCAAAAGGCTTCTTAACAGCTTCTACCCCCAAGCCATAAGACTCCTAAACAGCTAATCAAATGGCTCACCAGACTATTTGCATTGTCACCCACCCACCCCCTCTTTTACGCTGCTGTTTCTCTCTGTTTATTATCTATGCATAGTCACTTTAGCTCTACCTACATGTACATATTACCTCAATTACCTCGACTAACCTGTGCCCCCACACAATCACTCTGTACCGGTACCCCCTTTATATACCCTCGCTACTGTTATTTTACTGTTGCTCTTTAATTATTTGTTATTTCTTTTAATTCTTTATTTAATTTGTTACTTAACGCTTATTTTTCTTAAAACTGCATTGTTGGTTAAGGGCTTGTAAGTAAGCATTTCACTGTAAGGTGAACCTGTTGTATTCGACACGTGACAAATACAATTTGATTTGAAGTTGCTGTTTATGCTCAGATGTGATGCTTATTTTGTCCTCAAGTCTGACTCTAGTAGGCTGCGTTTACAAAGGCAGCTCAATTCTGATATATTTTTCACTAATTGGTCTTTTGATCAATCAGATCAGCTCTGAAAAAGATCTGATGTGAAAAGATCAGAATTGGGCTGCCTGTGTAAACACAGCCGTAGTAGTCTACTCAAAATGGCAGAAAGACTTACCTGTCAACATTTCTTCACAGTCCACCCCACAAAGGATCCGCAGACAGCCGTGGCTGAGCTAGTCAAGGGGGTACCCTGGATCTTCTCAGGGGAGAGCGTGCATCTGAAGTGCAGTGTTCCTGGGAATGTGTCGGCCGAGTGGAGGTACCAGTGGTTCATGGGGGGAGAACAGCTCCAGGAGTCTGAGTACTTTGTCCTGTGGAAGGCCAGGCCACAGCAGAGTGGGAAGTACTACTGCCAGGGCCTGAGAACCACATGGATAAGCACACAACACACCCTCCACAGCCTGCCTATAGAAATAGAGGTGGACGGTAAGAGAACCCCTATGAATATTGAGCCATGATGACATCTAGTTTGGTTGACCTTCTGTTAGCAGTCTGTATTAGCCAACTCCTTTCTTGTTGTCACGCCAAACATGTGTGACAATAGCAAAATAAGCAGAAACAGACTGGCAACCAGGCTAAGTTACACCTGTAGCACACCTGACCATAGAGGGTACCTGTCAATAGGCCAGACAGGGACTATGCCACCCCGTTAATCACTTAATGCTCTTTGCCCAGGTGGGTGGGCCATCCTGCAGACCCCGTCCCTGCCCATGCTGGTTGGAGAGACAATGACCCTGACGTGTCGTGTCCGTGACAACCCCAGACTGACAGAGGTCATACTATACAAGGACGGGGTGGAGCTTCAGAGACAGCCTGGCCCAGAGCTGCGTGTCACCAACCTTACCCTGCAACACCACGGATCCTATTGGTGCAGAGCATCCTGGGATGGGTGGAGGGAAACCAACTCTGTGATCTCAGTGGCTACTCCGGTGTCCATCATAGGTGAGGTTGAGTGACTGGTGAGGTTTGTCATTTTGAGTTTGTGTAGGGTGTGGAATCAGATTTCGAATGAGATTTGCACTCATCATTCTATTATCATCACTATCATATCATATCTAATGGTAGTTGAATACCAGTAGGTATGTGAGGAATATTGTTCAGTTTTAATGCTCTGTATTCTCCCCTGCAGAGGTTCTGACAGAGCCCATGTTGGAGATTGTGCCCAATGACCCTCTGATCCATAAAGACCGTATGCTCCTGGTGTGTCATGCCCAACTGAACGCCCGTGAGACGGTTCCACACAAACACTACTACTTCTACCAGGACGGGCTGAGGCTGGGACCTGCCTCCTCCCAGGACAGAGTCGCAGTACTGAGGGACTCAGGCCGGTACTGGTGCAAAGTCAGTGTTCCTACTCTGGGGCTGAAGAGGCTCAGCGAGCCCGTACCTTATGGGCGAGTGACGGGTGAACACTCAGAACACATGAGAAACCAGAAAGATTAGTGGTGATGCAGTCCACCTTTAGGATGCGTCATAATGCTGACCAGTGGCGTAAGTTCAGTTAAACCTAGGGTATGGCAGGGTGGGGGGGACAGCTTCTCTCCGAGCGACGCTCCGCATGGTCCTGAAGCTAGCCAACCAACATGCTAAACAGCTGTTGCATTTTAATTGGGATTGGGATTGGGATCTACTTTTTTATAGCTTACTTTTATATTTTTGGTCTTGAGCTAGGGTAAGGCGACTGCCATACCCTGCCATACCCAACTGACTCCCCTGATGCTGACTCTGTGTCAACAGGGACCAGTTGTCTCTCTCCTTCCAGAGCTCCATCTCTATCCAGCCTTCTGTGCCCCCTACCTTCCCTGATGTATCCGGTGATTCTCCAAACACACTGGCCCCTAATGTTGTTGGGCCAGATGACGGGACAGTGGTGTGGAGGGACTTCTTTTGAGCAATACCAGAGCAATGTACATTATCACCATCAGTTTCAGAATTAGACCCTTTTGAACCGACTTAGTTCCATCCCCAATTTACCCATTCATATGCCTCAAGAATGTACTTATGTTTTATAACATGCCTTATCTAAATTCATTAATAATTACTCATTAATACAATGTTATTTGTCTTTTAAGTTGTGAATGAAACAATAAATTATATTTGCACTGTCGATTGTAAACTCAATGTAAATATATCCAGTCAAAGTCAAACATTTACTTATTTTTTTAATTTCAAAAGTGTACAAAAGCTCATTTTTAAAATGCTCATTCTACAGCGATACAATGTACTGATTCATTTAACATAACCTGGGAAACATTATGTGATTAGTATTCCTCAAATAATTAACATTAAACTACTCCAGTGCTATCAGTCTTACGGGCATTATTTTTCATTCTACCAGATTGACAGTCTTGTAAAGATGTCTATATGTTGATGGGTATATAGAGGGAGTATGATGAGAGATGGGGTGAGTGCTGCAACTCAGATCATATAGAGGTGTTGTACAGTCACTGGTACTGTGGTGGCACAGTGGGCTCCATTGTCATGCGTTGTCTGAGCAGGAGCCCAGAGGGGCTGGTCTGTGGGGTACAGTATGGGTAGTATGAGGTGCAGTGAGTATGGAGGAGTTCCAGTAGAGATTGTTTAGGTATTATGGAGGTACAGTAGAGTTACAGTGTAGATTGTATTAGACATCAGATTGTTTGTCAGGGCTTGTCAGTGTAGAGCAGGAAGCCAGAAAAGGTGCTGTCGTCCTCACTGCTGGCGTAGACTCCGTTCCAGTCCCTCAGTGTCTCCAGCCATACCTGGTCCCCCGCCGCCAGCTGCAGCAGCACCATGCTGGACGCCTGGTCGATGTCCTGGCCGTACAGCGAGTCCCGCGTCCGCACCTTCCTCACTCCGTTGACTACCAGGGCAGCGCGCAGGGGCTTGTTCCGCACGGTGATGTGGTAGGAGAACACGTAGACCCCCCCGTGGGCACAGGTGAAGCTACTGGAGGAGGCGTTGTAGTGGTTCTCTCCGTTGTAGAAGACCTTGTCAAAGCGGACGGGGAAGCCCGATGGAGGGAAGGACTTGCTGGGGGTGAGGCCCACACTGAAGGCTGAGCGTTTCTGAATCACCCCGTTACCCTTCGCCCCTCTGATACCCCGAGGGCCCCTGTCCCCTCTCATTCCGGGGGTGCCTCTGTCACCCTTTGGCCCAAACATCCCCCTCCCTCCCTGGGGTCCAGGCAGCCCTTGCACCCCTGGCTCACCTTGAGCCCCTGGAGGTCCTGGATCCCCCTGGTCACCTGCCACACCAGGGGAGCCATGCATGCCATCCACCCCAGGAAGGCCCACCTGGCCCTGAAAACCTGGAGGCCCAGGGTCCCCTCTATCGCCCTTCAGTCCTCTCTCCCCAAATGTCCCACACTCCCCTTTGTCCCCCTTGTCCCCCTTCAGGTTTTGCACCCCAGCCAGCCCTGGGGGTCCTGTTGGGCCTTCCATTCCAGGTGTCCCTCTCTCACCCTTAGTCCCAATTTGGCTTTCACCCTTCTCCCCCCGATCACCTTTGACCCCAGGGGGCCCGCTGTCACCTTTTTCACCTTTGAAGCCAAATCCACCTGCAGGGCGCAGAGAACAGTGTAAGTGGACCATTTCAGAAACTAGGCCCAGACAGAATCTATGTAGGAAGATAGGATATGAATCGATTCTACATGTTTGATTTAATAATCATTTATGGAGCCTTAAACAGGTACAGGTAGCCAGGGGCGGTGTGTTCATTAGGGCGATATGGGCGACGCACTGCCAAACGGGAAAAGGAAGGGATTTTTTTCTAATCAATTATATCACGGCAACAGTAGTTATCAGTGTTCTAATCTAGACGTCTGATCTGCCACTAAATGTCCAATCAGGCTAAAGTCGTGCTTCAAATGCCCCCCCCCCCCCCCTTTTGGGGCGATTTCAGTCAGGTTGAAAATCGCCCCAGAAGTCTCTCATAGACTCTCATGTAAAAAAAAATTTTTTCAAATATCAGAGCTTTCAATACAATCTCTATGGGTTTCTGAGGGCTTGCACTTACGCGCTTTCGTCATACGTAACATAACCATGAACGTAACTAAGAAAAGAGTGGGTAGCAGCGTCAATCAATTCACGTACTACTATCAAGATGGCTAACGTTCAGTGCAACTCGATTGTCTCTTTGAAAGAAGTTCACATCAAAGACCATTCAAAACGAGCTACTGGAGTGTATGCTAGCGGTCATGAGGGAACATATTGTGGAGGAGGTGAAGTCGGTGAACTTCGTAGCTATCCAAGCTGACGAGACCACGGACGTTTCTACACAGACACAGCTGGTGCTTGTGCTGAGGTACATAGATAGCAACCACAAAGTGCAGGAGCGCTTTTTTGAGTTCCTTCCCATCTCGGAATCAACCTCAGTCTCAATCGCCAGTGTGCTTTTGGAGAGACTGAACGGTATTTTTGCCGACGACGAGAAAGTCAAACTGTGGTGCACTGGCACTGTACCAGGTTCTCATGAGCTACAACCTCCAGGAGACGTTCTCTGAGACTGTGACTCTGTTGAACATCCTCATAACTACTCCAATGACAACAGCTGAAGCTGAGAGATGTTTCTCAACTTTGACACGAGTTAAGACATTCCTGCGAAATTCAATGGGCCAGGAACGTCTGAATGCACTGGCCATGCTTTCCATGGAGAGGGAACTAGTCCTCAGCATGCCTGATTTCAATGAGAAAGTCATTGACCGCTTTGCTGCATTGAAAGAGAGAAGAGAACAGTTTCAGTACAAGTAATGTAGCCTCTCTCTCTCTTTGTCCCTCCCTGTCTGTCTCTTTAACACACACACACCCACATCAGTTCACAGTTGATGTTGTTTAAAATAGTTATTTTTCATTTTAAAAAAAGTAAAAAAAAAATAATAATCTGTTCATGTTCATTTTTACAAATCTATACAATTGGCCAGAATATGGTTGTTCATATTTACAAATCTATACAATTGGCCAGAATATGGTTGTTCATTTTTACAAAGCCATACAGATAGCTGTGTTTACCTTTTCTAGAAATTATTTTCAAATTCTGTTTTCAGGCAAAATGTCTATCACTGTTCATTTTCACAAATATATACAAGAGGGCAGAATATGGAAGTCTATAAAAATTTCTTATTACCAATAACTTGCATCAATGTTTTCAGTAGCCTCTATCAAAAGCTCCTGCTTGCTTGTTGTGGATTATGCTCAGGTGCACATATTTCCAATTCAACCATGAGGCAAACAATTTGGTAAAAGCTCTTGTTGATCCTGCAATCTGAACAAATACCAAGATGCTGTATTTTCAGCTGATATTTCATTTGTTTATGGAAATGCATATTGTTTATGCAGTGTTGAGGAATGTGAAAGAACACCCTTGATTATTTTTACTGTGATAACTTATTTTGCTTTTGTAAGCCAACACTTTTGAGATCAGTCAATAAATGCTTCTGGCATTGACTTATATGCTGCCCCTGTCTTCATGTTGTTGCTGGACATATCTTTTTGAAAATGTGTGTAGGTCACCTAAATCATCAGAAAAATTGCCCCCCCTGAGAATTTTTTCAGGAGCCGCCACTGCAGGTAGCCATGTTTATGATTTTCTATGTGTACCGATCACATGCCTATATGTGTTAAAAGGAATGGCTTGTTACCTCTCTCTCCTGGCTTCCCTGGGATACCTGGAGTTCCTGCCATTCCACGGTATCCTTGGTCACCTTTAACTCCTGGGAAAGGGAGATAGATAACAGACAACTTTGAATAATCAATAAATCTACTGTTTACTCACAGAGCCATTAAAGTGTACATATTTCTAATAAATAATGTATTGTTTCTCTTTCGTGTTCACCTCTGTCTCCTTTTGGCCCCGTAGTTCCATTTGAACAAGCAAGTCCAGGAAAGCCTCTGGGTCCTCGCTCCCCCTCTTCTCCAGGTGAACCTAGGAGAAAATTGTTTCAACAAGACATCAAAATCCATGGATCACCAATACAGTATACTGGTATTGTTACATTTCCCTATGTTGTTATAGTGATTTCAATACCTGGTAGTCCTCTGTCCCCTTTTGGCCCTCGAGGGCCCCTCTCTGGTGGACAGCACTCACAGAAATTGAAGTAGCACTCATTATAATCCAGGGTGTAATTTTCATGCCCAACACCAGGGGGCCCTGTGGTTTCAGTATAGTAATCCTGGTAGGCATCACTGGGGTAGGTTGTGGTCTCTGTGGTAACCAGGGGGTAGGGGTACATGGGATCTGATTTCTCCACTGATTTCAGTGTTTTAGGGATGATGGTGGTTAGGGGCTGCATGGTAATCTGGGGCTGCTCGCGGTAAGGTATGGGCTTCTTGGTGTATTGGTACTTTGGCCGCTGAGTGGTCTTCGTCGATACACTGGTCACTGTGAATGACATCACTGCCACTGCCAAGAGGGCAGAGTGATAGGAGAGCATCCTGATGTTTGACAAGGATCTAAGGAGGGAGAAATTGAGAAACTGTCACTTCTCATACACTGATGTAGCATCCCTTTATGTAAGCATACTACTTATTACAGCCTCTGCCAAGAGGTCTGGAACTTTATGGCACAGGAGATAGTGAGCTTGCCCTGTCACTGCATGGTGGGAAACTTTGCTCCAATGACTTTAGTGAGGCTCTCAGTAGCAGATTACTCAACCAAAGCTTTTTTCATGAGATGCTCACCTGTCCTGACAAAAGCAATTGTTTCAGAACTGATTATATTAGGTGTACATCCCGCATTAATATTTACAGTAGCTCAAAGCAACGTTCTTTCGACTCAGGGCAGGGGAACATTTATGAGACCTCATAACAACAACAATCCTAATAAAAAAAACATCTATAAAGCATCTTATCATCTATCAAGACTTTGGATAAATTGAGTTTGACACCTTCTCTTTTCCATCCATCTCTCTCGCCCTCCCTCTGTTTCTCTCTCTGTTGCAGACTGTTCTATTTTATATGAACCACTCAATATTCCACTGTCACAGCACTGCCAGACATGACCTCATCACAAAGATGTTGATTGAGAACTTACAGGCACTCAACTCATCACCTCACAATGGTTTGTCAAACAAAAAGGCCAAACAAAACAGAAACCGCTTATTGAACAGAGCTCGGTTTAAAGCAATAAATCCAAATCGACACTTACCTAATTATGACGGCCCCGTCTAATCATTGATTCCCTATCTAACAGTACCATGAAGACTGCAGCAGCAGCAACACTGGACCTCTTTGATATCTCTATAAGCTTTGATGATGGACATCCCCACCAATGAGGAGTAGAGCTGTGAGCCTATTGGGAGGTTTGAAACCCAATGACATGCTAATCTAGCAGAGCCTGGAGCTGGACCAAGCAGAACCACTGCACCGCACCACGGCCCACTCTCTGTATCCCAGTTGTGTAAAATGTGCTTTTGTGACACTGGATACAGTGCTTGTGAGAAGCACTACACCGGTGTGGGAGAGGGGCAACGGGTCACCTGATATAGGAGGAATTCCTAAAGCAGCCACCCTGCAGCCCCGCTCTTACTGGGTACTAGAGCCAAGCTGGGAGGCTTCCAGTGGCCCCATAGTGAGGTTCATACACGTCTTTCTACAGGTGAAGGGAGTGCAGCTCAACTCTAATACAAGAAGGTACATTTTGGTCAAGTCATTGTGAGCTTGTGTAAAAGAGTATAGATGTAATAGTGATTACAGTTGTAAATCATTAGCTACAGGGAAACTATTTAGGGTGCCCCACTCTGCTTAGCCCAAAACCTCTCTCTATAACTACCGCAGAACAAGGATCTGTATCATTACTATCTACTTGGTGATTGTCCAGGAAAAGCTTTAGCCTAAAGAGCACTGATTATCTCACTGTCTCACTCAACAGTTACTAAACCTGAGCTGTCGTTAAAGGAAACAGCTTATCTCTCTAACCCTCTCTACAGGTGAAAACACAGCCACTGGAACCAACTATCTCTTGTTAGAAGAATGGTCCTCCTTTCCATAAATTATACCAACTCAATCTCACAGTGGTAACAGGACAGCTCGTGACTGATACAAATGAAACTACTACCACCAGAGGACATGGTTCAGTAGTTAAAGACCTCAACCTCCATGAGGGATCTATGACCAGCAAAAACAATTGCAGGAACAGGGAAAATGAAAGAAGGAAATAGAGAGGGGAGGGGAGGTGAGTTGGAAGGAGAGGAAGAGAGAGAGAGAGAGAGAGAGAGAGAGAGAGAGAGAGAGAGAGAGAGAGAGAGAGAGAGAGAGAGAGAGAGAGAGAGAGAGAGAGGAGGGGTGGATTCCAGAGGTAGTGAGGGAGAGGTTTGTGTGTACTTTGAATATATAACACTGTGCCTTAACCTCCCACAAAGACATACATTTGCATGTATTCAATTTTCACCTGTTTCTAATTCTTTCTCCTCTCCTTCTTGCATGATTAGCCCTACTCCTGCCCCCTGCTCTCCCTCCATCTCTCTCTCTTTCCTTCCAAGCATTTTGAATGTGGTCCGTCCCTGAGATGGCCCGTTGAGGTTCCACCCCTGAATCTCACTCCTCCACAGTCCACACAACAGAACTGGTCAGTTTACCAGCCTCGCCACCACAGGAAAACAAGCGCTACTCACCTGCCCACTCACTTAACACTGGCACTGCCCATGACCCCAGGCGCTCCCACAGTACAGCACCATTGGGAACAACATATACAGCCAAGAGTTAAGCAGGAGCAGTGGAGCAGGGACAGAGGCAGGATGACTTTACATTAACTAACCCTCTTCATGGAAAGAAGATCTCTTAAGTGTCAGTATAGAGGATGTAGGAGTGAAGGCGGGAAGGTGTGTGGGGTGTATGTGTGTGAGTGTGTGTGCATGTGTGCAAGATCAGACAGTTGTTTGCCTCCTGGGTGAACATTTCCTTTTACCCTAGTGAGTAGGATGACAGTTGAAGTAAACCATTATCAAAATATCAGCCTTAGTTTCTGATTGATGCAGAGAACAAAATGCCCTCTACCAAAACATCAGTTCATTTTCCTCTCAGATTATCCCCCTGGTACACTAACCTGGCCATAGACAGCTTCTTGTTCTCCAGCCCAGCCTGCCTTATCAAGTGAAATCTAGAGACCTTGGATTTAGCAACTAATGACTTTGGCACTTGAAGTCTTGGCAAATAAATATATGCCTCTTATGTAGTGAGACCAAGCAATACCTTCATATTATTTGACACCATTTTCTTGAGTTGTTCAATATTGAAATGGAAATATCAATCTAGTACAAGTACACCCTATTTTCTTAAAAGATCTTGGTTATTGGTTTATCATAGAGCGTTACTGAAGAAGTCAGCATAAAAAAGTATTTGCTTTTTTCACTCAAGCACAGAGCCTAATTGTCTTGTGAGATGGAAGCTGAAGCGTTGCAAGGGTATCAGAGACCCAGGCGGACTCCCCAGAGACACAGAGGGGTGTCGGTGTGGCGAGAGACCCCAGGAGAGTGATCCTTGAGTAGGGGGTTGTGGGGAATAAGGAGCCCAGGGCTACAGGGGGTGGGGGTAGTGGGAGAAAACAGGGTCCGGAGGTGGGTTACAGGGGAGAAAGAGAGAGTGAGAGAGGGTCATGGTCAGGTGAGTGCAAGGTAAAAGTTATCTGGTACCACCCACTTGTTTCCCCCCACCTACGTTATCCACCGGTCCCCTAGCCCCGGCGCCGACCCCGTCCCACAGAGGTAGAGTAGCCCAGACTGTGATCAGGTGTAGTGCTCCTAATGGACTTCTCTATGACCCCGTGGAGAAAGGATTGGCTTTAAGTCCTCGAAGAACCATTAGAAAAGCTTTTACATCTCTCTCTCTCTCTCTCTCTCTCTCTCTCTCTCTCTCTCTCTCTCTCTCTCTCTCTCTCTCTCTCTCTCTCTCTCTCTCTCTCTCTCTCTCTCTCTCTCTCTCTCTCTCTCTCTCTCTCTCTATCTCTCTCTCTCTCCAACACACAGGGTTTAGTGTTCTATCCATTGTTTTTAGGCCTACATCTTACTAATAAAGAATAGCTGGAAAACAAATGTTGTAGCAACACACATTTTCCAGAGAATATGCCCAAACTTCCTATTTTATAGAAGTAAAACAAATCTAGGGCCGGGATTGAATGCAGAACATGTAGCCTACAGAATAGTTAATTCAGGTAAACATTCTACCTTATCAAATATCCATTACTTACATTAAGAAAAAAGGTTGATTTTGTTATCATCAAAACAGGCAAATGGTTAGTATAAAGGTCTAGTTCACTCCAAAAATGTTTTACACCTATTCCACTTTAACATAGAGATGCAATACTTACTTACAACCATGTTTGAACTATATGCTAAATATTAGGCTATAGTCAGACTTCAATATCTACAGTAGGACGTCAAAAATACATATTTACCAGTGTCAGGTGTTGGCCTTGTCTTGTGTCCGGACAGTCTGACGGTCAGTATGTTGAGGGAGAGCAGGAGAGAACGAGAAATGGAGCAGATGAGAGGAGGGCTGAAAAGACTGGGAAAGAGAGAGAGTGACAGAGCTTTTTCTGAACAACACTGATATATGGTAAAATGATGCTTGTATATGTCACATTAGCAGTATGTCTTTGAAAACAGGTTTACTGGGGGGACCATAGGTTATGGTTGGGCGATCAGCTCTACCGTCATCCATAATGGAGCACAGTGATGTCAAGCCACACACTTACTGATGGTACCCTGACCTAGAAACCTGACCTGACCCCACTCCCCTGGGCTCCTCTGTGTTCAAAACCTGCTCTCTCTCCTGCCATCCCCCTGATCCTAACATCCCATAGCCACTAGGTGGCAGTGTTGTTTGATAAAATAAGTCACTGAGGCCCCGTCCTGTGCCTGTGATACACAACTTGGAACAACAGAACCCAAAACGTATCTGTCCTGAGCTACTCTTGTACATATATTTACTCATCATAACATAGATAGGTCTGCAGTGTGAAACACCATGATTCATATTGATTCATTTGCTGTCTTTTATCTATAGGTAGAGGACATTCTCATTATCTGATGGTACATGACAGAAAGACAAGAAGTGGAACTGGGGAGGCAGTTTTAACCCTAACCATCTCTCCACATGCATAACTATATACATGGTGACATGTCCACTTCATCACTGTCTTGTACTTGCTTGACTAAACTATGCTAATGCAGCCTCATTTGCCTAATCTGTGTGTGGTGTCGTCATGTAAAAATATAGGCTACATATTGCATTTTACAGAGGTACTGAAATGAACTTACTAACCAACCCTTCTGGGGGTGACCATCAGTCACACTCTCCCATGACTCTTTCTTTTCTCTTTAGTTTGAATCCAGTAGCGATAATCTGAGGTTGAGTTTGCTCAGGGCGTGATGGAATTCTATAACTCCATGGCCAGTCTTTTCACCTAGCTCACCTAGTCTCTGGAGATTTGGGGACA